TAGGGTTTTCAGTATTTTGAGTGGATGAGAAGATGTAACTCCTCCCCCCTTAAGACTCGACTCCTGGCGAATACTTTTTAGTTCAACGTTTATTTTGGAATTTCCTACACGTGGTTTCCTGCATAAAATTATTATTACAATAGAAAATGCTAATAAAACGAAAATAACAGTTGTGGCATTGGTGGTAACGTTTGTATACCACCTCCAAGTATTATCAGCTTTTATTTCTTAAATATGCTTGGCATTATTAACATGACTATAGTACAAATGTTCTAAATGGATTTCATTGACAATTTTACCAATAGTAATGTTCCGATCTACATAAGGTAAAATTTTATTGTAATATTCTGTTTCAAGATTTTCAAATCGCATATATGTAGTTAATTGAAATTTTACAGTTTGTAAAGTTGATAATATTATTTCCTTTAATGGGAATTTCGCGTGGATTTTGTCCACAATTATTATATAACAGTGTTTCATTCAAATTTTTTGTAATTACTACTGTATCTGATAATTTTTTTAATTTCTGGTAAAATATTTTCCTAAAAGTGACATTTCATTTGATTTGTATTAAGCAAGTTTGAAATACATTTATCCTGAAATGATATTAAATCTTTTTTCATTATTTCTCTTTTTTCTACATTTTTAAAAATATTTTGCTTACATGTTATTATTTCATTTATATTAGTATTAAGTTCTAAGAAATTATTCTTATTAGCAATTTTTTCAACAATTGTTTCAAAACAAGTTTCTTTAATAAATTTTGGAATAGAAAAAACAAAATTAATTGTATTTTCTTTAAAAAGCAAACAATTTTTAATAAAAGGTAACATTTCAATTGTAATGTTTTGATCTTTTATTTCCTCTTGTGTTATAAGGTTTTTTGATAAAATTTCCAATTTGCTTGTAAGAATAATTTCTTTAATATCAGAAATTTGTTTAGTTAATAAATTAATATTTTCATTTATTTCTGTTTTAATTAAAAACAATTTTAAATCTTCATTAATTTCATTAACGCTATTTCTAATTTTATCAATTTCATTATTAATTTTATTTTGAGCTAGATTTACATGGTTGGTTATGTTTTTAACCTGGTCTGAAATTTGTTTATTTATAGGCACTTGATCATTTAAATTATTTATTATCTGAGCGTTATGTTTCTCAATAAGATCAAAATGTTCTTGAATTTCTTTTCTATCATTATTATCCATTGTTCCGGCCAAGAAACGTAAAGCATTTCCAATCACATTTATTAACCCTCTTTTAGCGACATGATGCGGTATGATACTATTGAAATCTTCCTTTAATTGTTTTAAATTATGAAGGAGAGAATTACGTATTTCGGTTGGTTCATTCAACCGTATAATGTTAAATTCTATTTTGTTAATACTTTTTTCATATGAAGAAAGATTAACCACATGCATTATTCGCTTATAACTATGGATTATTTTTACTTCCAATTTTTGGAAAAGAATGTAACCATTACCCGCTGGTATCGGGTTAACTTCAATTTCAGACAATGCCAAAGTAAAAAGTGGTATGATAAGGATAAGTAAAAGTTTTAAAGTACCTAAAATAAAAATAAAGTGAATACATGATTTTTTGTTTTATTGGAATAATTCTTAATATTAATTTTCAAATTTAAGTTTCCTTTTAAATTGATTAACATAGCGTGGTAGGGATTCTTTATTTATTTTAAAAATGATTTTTACTAGAATGGGTAATATCTACCTTTTATTCTATTAAGTTTTAGGTAATTAGTAGGTTTTTCCTTTTTCCTTTTAATATTAAATTTATTTATTAAAATTTCTTTTACTTTAATTAATTTATTATAAATGGTCTGGTATTGATCTGGGGTGATTGTTCCGTTAAGGAAATCAATAGGCCTTCGTCCAGTTGACGAGTGAATGGTCTCATTATAAGTTTTTAGACTCTTGATTATTGGGTCTTCATCTAATGGTGTATACATGGGAATTTTGAAAATTTCCGGACTGATTTTTCAGATTACGTTGAGATCTGAACCCAGAATAGTTATTGTTACGATTGTAATTATTACTATTATAATTATTGTTACTGTTACGATTGTAATTATTACTATTATAATTATTGTTATTGTTATTGCGATTAATATTACTACTAATTGTTAGGATTTCTGTTGTTGTTGTTACCGCGGTCATAAATTACTATTATGACCAGCGATATTATAATTATATTTATGTGCGTAGTCATTATTAGTATTTCTATTAGTATTAGTGTTAGATGTATTGTGATATGATTTGTTATTTCTGAAAAAGTTTTTATTTGTGTTAGAATTTCTATTGTTAGAATTGTATAGATTAAAATCTGCATAATTGCCTTCATAGAGGACTTCAATAGCATCTTCTAAAGAGGCTGGGTTGCGACTAAAAATCACTGAACGGTTCAGATAATTTTTCGTTAAGTATTCGCAACCCAGTTTGAATATTTGCTCGGATAATGGCCTCCACATTTGGCTCATCTTTTATTTTATTACTTATTCTATGTAATATTTTTGTCATTCATTATAATACGTAATATTATGTCATGTCATTATAAAGATCTACACTTGTTGTGCGAAATTTTACACTTTGCAACTCTTCGAAAAGTTGCAAAGCCGTTTTTCTTTCGCCAAAATTATCTACTAAAATTTTTTTAATTTCGAGCCAGTTTATAACATGATTGTTTATTTCAACAACCTCTCTAGCTCTATCTATTAGTTTAGCTTTGATTCTGTTTATTAAAATGAAAAAAGTGGTCGTGCGGTTGAAGCCTGTGTAGTGCGGGTATTGCTGCCATTGCTGTTGGAGTCTTTCTGACGATCAAACTGCGATCTTTTTTTTTATAATTTTTTTCTTTTTATTATTATTTCTGGGTATAACTTTGTCCAATTTTTATTTTATTATGAATAATTTTATTAGTTTATTAAAAAAAATTTCTTATGTGTTCACCAGTTTAATACTCAAGTTTTTAAGAGTCAATAATAAGTCAATTATTTGTTGACGGTTTATTATTTTATTATTATTTCAAGAAAGCTCTCTTTTTCATTTTCTTTTGTTATTTTGAGTTCACCTTTTTTTTCACTAGTATATTCGTTTCAAATTCAAATTCACCCTTTTTATTTTTAAATCCTACCGGAACTGCGCCACTTATGTGCAAGGGCGTCTTTTGTGAGAAAATCGAAAAAACTAGTTTTATTATTTTCAGTCGATCAACCGATCACTTATTGACAAAAAATGAACTGAACTTTATTGGTTTTATAAAAATTTAAAACGTTCTTAAAAATTACAAAAATTATACAAAACAAAAGAAAATATTTTTTTAATTTAGAACACATTACAAAATTATCGTTAATTTTGCTTATCTTTAAAATAACACTTATAATAATAATTTTTTAAAATATTTGGAATACTTACTCAATATGCAAGTCAAATGTTAATCATTATTTATTATTAGTCATTCTCATTACGCATTGTATCGTATTTAGGTTTAACACAATGTAAGAACAATAATAATAAAAAAAAATAAAAAATGTAAAATGAAACATAAACGATTTTTAAGTGTTTCGTTCGTTCACACATTAATGTAATCGTTTCAAGCAATAACTTTTGTTTTGAAATATGATATGAGATTTGAAAAATTGTTTAAAGAAAGCAAGGAAAAAAAAATAAAAAGAAAGAAAGTACTGATTGAATCTTTTTGAGTTTATTATAATTGTAGTGGTTAATCTAAAAGAACAATATTTCTGTTATTATTATTCTTATTAGGGTTTTCAGTATTTTGAGTGGATGGAGATGTAACTCTATATAATGTTTTGCAAGTTTAGAAGATACTTGCGAGTATGTAACACCATTTTTTACCTTATTTGATGCTGCTGGCACTGCTGGCGCTTCGTTCAGCTCAGGTTACATCCAAGCTGGCCTTAGGCTGTCTTGTTGCACTTGTGGAATTGGCATTGGAGAACAGAGTCACGCTCATTTGGGTGCCGGGCCATAGTGTCCATGCGGGCAACATAATTGTCGATGGGCTGGCGCGGAGGGGATCTGGGGCTGACTTTATGCAGCCTCTGCCTTTTTGCGATCTGCCTTCTGCCGCTGTGGGGGCCAGGCTTGCCTGCCTGCTCAAGGTGGGATGCGGCCGTCACTGGCGGGACACGAAAGAGTGAAGTCATGCGAAGATGTTTATTTCGGCGTACTCTAGCGGATACACCGCAAAGTTGCTGGGGATGAGCAGGAGCCGGGTTCGCACTATTGAGAATTTCTTCACGGGGCACTGCCCAGTGATTCAGGGGATTTTGTTTTTATTGTTTTCTATTAGATTTTGCTTAAATTTTAGTGGACTCGCAATGCAAGCATGCCTGCTGTGGCTATTTTTACTCCCCAACCTAACGCGGTATCTATAGAATTGCTTGCAAATTGGATTCATCGTTTTAAATTTTTTTATAATTTTCTTTTAATTTAATTTCAATTTATTTTTTATGGCACCACAAATATTTTTTTGAACAATATCCCTAAACTATACATATTTATTCTTATTAATAAAATATAAATATTTAAATATATGAATTTAAGAGAGTTTTAGACGTGCAATTTTAAACAATTTATATTTATTTTAAATATTCACATTTTAATTTTCAAAATACGTTTGCATGAAATAAAAATGTCAAACCAAATGAAAACAAATGACGTAATGTATATGAAAATGGCGACAGGGCATCTTTTAATGAGTATTAGTTTTAATATTAAGCAATCAATCATCAAAAGAAAAAATATTTTGACTTTCAATAGGCCTAAGCCAACGAACCAATCAATTCACCTTTAATCATTAATCAGCGTTTTTAATACAGTATTATGCTTGTCTACACAACCACTTTTGCATCAATGACGGACATACATTTCATCTCCATTGTCTATAAAACTTGTTGTCAAGCCTAGCTGAATATATGTCAACCATTAGCAAAATACTCATCGTGTAAACAGGAATATTGATTATTTAATTTTTTCCCTTCAATTACGTACATAATTTCTACATGATATACGTGATTAGTTTTCATTATAATTTTTCAGAAAAGAATTTAATTCTAGCACTTTAAATACTATTATCAAAATGTATCCAAGAGAAGAAGCCGAAGTCGTCAAAATGTTAGCAAAGGTAAAAAATGTTGTGTAGGTAAACAGATTTTACCACATACTATGAATATGATTTTTAGTATCGTAACTTGCCAGTAACAAAGAAAGATGTTGTCGACGCACTGAAAATGTACAGGAGTCTTATTTATAAATTGGAAAAATTTGGTAAAGAGAAATTAAAGCTCATTAAATAATCTAAAGATTTTGAAAAAATAATTTTTATATTAGTTTTCAATGACGGCGTCGTTAAAGACTTGTTTAACTTGCAAGGAACAATCCCAGTTAATTATAAAAGTGAAGTTTTTGCTGTTTTTAAAATCAAATTATGATATATATTTGTTATTTCTTTCAGATAATACTTATCATATACCGATATGCATATGGCTTATGGACACTCACCCAGATAACGCTCCAATTTGTTATGTCAAGCCGACATCGCAAATGCAAATAAAAGTATCTATGTTCGTTGATCACAATGGAAAAATTTATTTACCATATTTACACGACTGGTCTCCAGTAAATAATATAAAATTTCAAAAATAGGAATAAATGTTACAAATTTTTTTAGTCTAATTCCGACCTTCTAGGTCTTATTGAGGTTATGATAGTGACTTTTGGAGAACAACCACCAGTTTATTCAAAGCCTAAAGAATATTCAAGTGAAGCTTACAAATATTTCAATTTACAAGCTAATTTTACTATTTAACAGGTGGGACAACAGGGAATGCATTTGGAATGCCGCAACCTCCACCTACTTTTGGAAGTATACCACCATATCCAAATCATTTTTCACAATCTACTAGCAGCGGACAAAGGTATCCTCCTATGACGTATATGACAGGTGGCAATACAAACAGCAACATGCCTTATCCTTCGCCATTTTATTTTCCACCTATACCTCAAGCCGGTTACAATTCTCCATATGTAAAAAAAATAATTAAACATTTTTCTTAAGAAACTTCAGGTTTCTGCTTTTTAGAACCCGCAAAAACCGAATCAGACTGGGACAATAACAGAAGAACATATTAAAGCTTCATTAATAAGTGCTGTCGAGGACAAACTGCGAAGACGTGTCCAAGAAAGAGTAAACCAATGCCAAGCGGAAATCGACACTCTAAATAGAACTAAGCAAGAACTTAGAGAAGGACGAACTAAAATTGAAAGCATTATCAAAAACCTCACAAAGGAAGAAGTATGCTAACGAAATCGAAAAGTTATATTTACACGCTTTTGAATATTTTTAGATTGAAATTCAAAAAAACATCAGTATTTTAAAAGAAAAGGAAGAAGAACTAGTCAAATCGCTTGAGTGTTTAGATGTAGAAAATAAAATGGATGTTGATGAAGCTGTTGTAACCACAGCCCCCCTATATAAGCAGTAAAATTTTTAAATTATTTTTGTAATACACTTTTATGAGAAATTATTTTAGACTTCTTAATGCTTATGCTGAAGAAGCCTCAATCGAAGACGCAATATATTATTTAGGAGAAGGTTTTCGAACGGGTGTTATTGATTTAGAAGTGTTCTTGAAGCATGTAAGGTCGCTATCTAGGAAACAATTTATGTTGCGTGCCATTATGCAAAAATGTCGTCAAAAAGCTGGTTTGGCTGGCTAACAATGCTTCATTAACCTGTTTTGTATATCCAACACATATACAAAGTTGAATCAGAATAATTTAGCAACATTTTCTGAAAAAAAAAATTAAATTATTTTGTTATTACAATACAATTGTTCATTGTTCAAAATGTGTGAGTTATGTGAAATTTTTATAAATAAAAAACAAATTTCATATTCTCAATTTCGAATTACCAAAATTCTATTACGAATATTCGTAATAGAGTAATCATAAGTTACTTTCGTAGTAAAAATAACTCTCAAGAGTCTACTAAAAAAATAATCATTCGTAACAATCAATTTAAAGAGAATAATCGTATTGAATTTTTAAATTTTGAATTTTTTTGTTTGATTTACTCTAACACAGCTGCAATGAAAAGTTCGTATTGCCAAAAAAAATTTCCACTTTCCAAAAATATTTAAAAACTAAAAAAAACTGCAAAACAAAAAGGGTATGTTAAAAAACATTCTTATAAATTCATATAAAAAGATATTTTAAAAAAACATTTTTTGTATGAATATTTTAAAAAATATCCTTTTGCATAAAAGTTGTTTAATAGAATAGCAACTAAAAAATATAAATAAACATCTGATAGCTAAAATAAATAAAGTTGGGTCAAACCAATGGTTTGTATTGTAGCACTTTTCCCTTCAACAAGTGAAAACACTGCTTTTAAATACTGTCTGTACATATACCTATCACATTATTAAAATTGTTTTCATTCATATACAAAATTATTTCTAGGATTGCATATATTTAGGATGATGCATATATGCAGTCTTTCAAATAAAGCAAAAACTAATATAAAGTGGGGTTAACATAATGCTCGATTTTAAGGTTTTTTTTGTGAGTTAAGAAAAATAATTATGTATATTTTTTAATGTCATGGAATTTACCGTTAGCTTTTTGTGTTTATAGAAATTTGAAAAAGCTTGCGTATTCGGAAATATAAGATGTCAAAAATTCAAATTTTACAAATTTCAAGAGGCGATAACTTGAGAGGGGGTGGAGATGGAAAAAAATTTCTTCTAACGATATGAAGTATTTGTTAATTTTTAAAAGCCCCTAAAATATCAAGCTTCTACAGGCTGAGGTCTAGAAGAAAACCAACCTCAAAAATTTGGAAAGAAATTATTACCGTTATCTAAAGCTAAATTTTAACGGCCATTTTGTTTTTCTAAAGTTTAACTATAGTATACCGCGCTAGGAGAAGCAAGCCACTGTCTTTTTGCGTTTGCAAAATTTGAAAAATGCTTATGGTTTCACTGCACTAAATAGTTAAAAAATGGCATTTTTAGGGTTTTGGGGGGTATAACTTCTAAAGAGGGGAGAGATAGGTAAAAATTTTGTTCTACGAAAATAAGTTTCTAGTAAAGATATATATACATGTAAAATTTCAGCTTTCTATCTTCAAGGGTGTAGAAGTTTTGAGCCTTATTCTAGTTGTCGAAGTAAAGCGACAATTGTCGTTACGACTTGAATTTGATATTCTAAACGGCGATCGCAGTGACAATCGTCGGGGAATAGCGGGAAAATGTGTTTCAACCATATTCCAGTTGTCGTTCTGATGCGAGATATGTCGTAGTGAAACGACGTTTTTCAGTAAAAAAACGATTCAGTAAATATACAAAGGCCTGCTTTAGAAGTCTGTAATAGTTTATAAATCTGTGAATAAAATAAAATGTTTGCAACTAATTTACTAGAATAAATTTGGCAAATCTAATGGATTAGAGCTGTCGCTAATCTTAAATCTTTCGATCTTTAATTGTTGTTATTTTTTAATTCCATCACTACCGGAATGAGATGAATTCGTAAACCATAATGCAAATGACATTTTTTATTATGTAAAAATATAAATATACACACTGAAAATTTTTTTTTCTTTGAGCTTTACTCGCCGAAATTTCTTTTTAAAATGTATCAATTTTACTTGAAACGTTTCATTTTCGATTATTTCTCGCACTCACGTCACTCGACAACCAGAATACCACATTTCAAATGAAGTGACAGCGACAACGACAAATGTCACGTTAGTGACGCGACAACTAGAATAAGGCTCTTTGTAAACAGACACACGGACAGACGGACGAACAAAGTGAAACTAATAAGCACTTTTTTTCAAAATTTTTTTGGAAAAGTGCTAAAAACTGATTTAGACACTCCGAAAAATGATACTGCATTTGGTGATTCATAGTCTCTACCTCAGGAATTTGTGATCATTCAAAAGTCTACATCGTAAAGTTCGTAATTCGTAGAACGTAAATGGTATCTTAGAAAAATGGGAGTCATAATTTATTCGTAACTTGTGACGTTTAATTTGGAAAATTTTCGGATCTTGAAATACCATTTTTGCATTATCCTCCAAAAAAAGCGTTACGGGTCTTGCAATAGGTATATTAGATATTTTTTTGTGAATATAACGAAGTACAATTTTCTAAAAAAAAAAATAGATTTTGTTTTGTAGCAAAAAAAGTTGGTGATTAATAAAGTTGACTTAAGCATTAAATTAATTTTTTAAAAATGATAAAAATATTAATTTTGTCAGCAACAAATACATATGTATAATAAAACAGTTTTTAAAATACGAGGCCTTTTCATAAACGCAGTATATGGCGATATGTAACGAGAACTGCGCTATATTTGTGTTCATAAACATTGCTAACATATCACACAAAATAAACTATTATGGCTAACGCTGTTAAATCAGCTGTACTTTTTTTTGTTACTAGTTTTTGCAGTTTTTTTAGTAAATCATCTGTTAATTGTTGTGCTTAAAAATAGCAAAATTTCTTTTTGTTTCAGTTTTCTTTTTTTGTTTTTCTTAATTTTTATTTTTTCCTGAAATAGAATTTTCCAATATTTGCCCCAAAATAAATAAATTTTTTGTTAACGACACTTTTTGTTCATGAACACAATAAATTCATATTAAAAAAAGAAATTCATAATCAAAATTATGAGTTCATAATTTCAAAAAAATTCATAAGCAAAAATTTTTATACAACTGTTAAAAATATTTGGGTATGTATTACATTATTGTTTTGCAGTATTGTGTTTATGAAAATGCCTATTAAAAATTATCGGGCAACATGAAACAAAAACTGCTTTCCGGTCAATAATTTAATATAATACACATAAACAATAATATGTATACAGAAATATTAAGTAAACATAATAAGTCTGCCTGGGATAATTTCTCGCAAAAAGAAAAAGTAAACCAGACGTAAAATTTAAGAAAATTCTTAACTTTATAGAGATGTGATAAACTTCAAACGTCAAATTTCAAAGTACTTATCAGACATAAACAAATATACCAAAAACCAAAAATCTTGGATTATAAAAGGGTTAAACTTAAACTATTTGTGAATCCACTTTGTTTATTTTATTTTTAATTAAAAAGTTAAAAAAATTATTTTTTAACTTTTCAATTAAAAATAATTTTTTTTTCAAAAACAAAACCTTCCAACATAATAAAGAAATTTATATGTTTCGACATTAAGATTTTCAAAGTTTTTCGAACACTAAATTTTATTTTACAAAACTTGAAAAAATTTTTAAACATTGAGAAAATGGAAACGTCATCATTTTCTCTGTTCTTTGTTCAAATGTGTTATCTCAGACGTGTGAAGAAAACCGGATCTACTATACTTAGTCCTAACAGATGTGGCAAAATAACACTAACAGAGTTCATCCAGTTCATTCATTGAGTAATCATTTACATAACATTCAACATTGCAAAGCTCACGACCTTTTTCTAACATAAAGCCATTTTCATACAAAAAAATTATCAAAAGTTGTTTTGCCTTGATCACTTTCTCATTCTCTCATCTTTTGTTCTTTCTTTTCATTAAAATTAGAAAACGGAATTGTTGTTGCAATTGGTTCTAATTTCTTATTTATAAGCGGAGCTGACTCTGAAAAACATACCATTTGAATAAAACAGAGATAAAGAAAAAAATTGCAAATAAAAAACTCAAAAATGTGATATCGTGATTCATGAGATCATAATTCATAGAGATTTGTAAACATTTTTTTCTCTTTCATAATGAAATGAGTGATAATAATATATTTCATATTTTATATAATTGTTTGTAAATATTAATATTAATTTAATTGGACATTTCATATTTAAATACAAAATTAATTACATAAACAAACAAACATTAACATTATCTTATTTTCCCTTTATATGTGAGTTGGAAATATTTTAATTCATGTAAGGAAGAGCTAATGAAACTAAAATTGCAAGTATATACCTATCTATCTATCTGGTGTTTACTTAACATTCTAAAGTATATACTTCCTATCAAAAATAAGAAAAAAATTATCACTTTCAAATGCAATAAAAATATACAATGTAATTATTAAACCACATTTTGAGTATTGTTCGTCTGTTATTTTCATGTTTTCGCAAGAACAATTCGATAGACTACAAAAATTGCAAAATAAGGCCATCTGAATTATCTTGAAAGTTGGAAAATACACGTCAATAAACTACATGCTGAGTACGTTAATTTGGTTGACAGTCTATCAAAAAGTAATTGTAAATACAGTCGAACTCGCTTATATGCACACCCATTTTGGCAAACTTTTTTGTGCATATATCCATATTGTGCAATTATCCACTTCACGCGTAATTGCAAAAAAATTGCATATATGCGTTTGACGGCTATATGCAAAAAAATTGCAATTATGCGTTAAACCTTTTTTCGAAAATTGTTAGTCCCACATAAAAATTGTTTATTCATATTAATACACGTATGTATTATGTAAATCTATTTGTAAGTTTTATTAAAAAATAAAATTATAATGGTTAACAATTCATTAGTTTGAATATAAAACAAAATAAAAATTAAATTTGTTTGTAAAAAAAAGCATTTTAAGGAATTGCATAGTTAACATATAGATCTGTTTACGTTTTGTACGTGTTATAAAAAAAAAGTAAAAATGACTAACAGAATTGTACGTACAGAATTGCATTGGAACTACTTTAGACATACATGTACACATGTGCATGTATAGTATGTACATATCACAATTATTTTATAAAAATAATTCTTTAATTATTTTGGCTTAAACAATAATCAGATATTTTTTTCTGTTTCAATTCTTTGCCTTTTAAATATTCTGTAATAATAATATCTTTTAAATTTTCTATACCTTCGCATGTTACAATATTTTTACAG